GTGAAAAGGGTTCAACTGTTGGCACATTGATGTTAGCAAGATTTCGCTCAACTATGCATAAACTGGACGGATGAGTACCTCTCCAAATACCCTTCACAATGAACTGCTGGTTTTCGTTGCAGAACAGAATGCATTGCTAGCCAAGCGTCAAGACCGGAGTGCCGTGGTAGGAGTGAAAAGGTTTATATTCTCCCACCTCAGTACGACAGCATTGGAACCAGCTTCAAGGTAATGCTTTCGTCCCCCCCCCCCCCCTTCCTCCTGCATGATTATTCCCTCGAATCCTTCGAGTGTCTGCCCGGAGATGAAAGATTTTACTTATCTTTTTGCTGTGTGTGGGTACACATGAGGAAGGATGAAATCGTAGTGTAGATGTGACCCATTCAATTTCCCCAACAACCGCCCTGTCTCACTTAAGAACTCAGCGAATCCTTCAAACTCCCTCAGTTTGCCAAAAATTTCTCACTTCGTCCACATTGCCACCGCGTCTAGCGGGCAAGGAAGGGGTGGTAGGGTGGTGTCCTCGTCACTCAACTATTAGAAATCAAACATCAGTTAGTTCTGCGACGTCGAAAAGTAGGGAGGGGTAGGGTGGTGGGAAAGGGGGGGGGGAGGGTGGGCTGGCGAATGGGTAGGATGTATAAAGTGTGTGAAAGAGGGATATCAACAATTTGATCCGCTTCACAAACGACTCCCTCTCCCTACCGACCAAGTTCGAGCGCGATTGGGTCCACTCAAGGAACTGTGTACGCCCCAACTATTCAGGTATCAGATCGAATCCATTCTGGACGTCGCGCTATGCTACGACTCCAGTCATCAGATTGGTGAATCTCTTCCAGCTCCTTGATGTAAATGATAAAAAATGTATAAAAAGCGTGAGCTGCAGCTGGTTACTGTCGTCGCAGTTCATAGCTTTTTTGTATGAATAGTACTGTTGCGGCCATGTTTTTTGCAACGAACGGCATTGTTTTTCGTGCTGTCGTCAAGTGACACTTGACAAACGTCGGCTGACGAGCCAAAACTCCGAGGGAACATGGAGCCAGGGGTATTGAGTAATGATTTCAACAAAATGAACGCATGCTCAAGTCGCGTATGTCATTTCCTTCGTTCGAGCCAGTCCCTTGCCCTGACGATGCATGCGCAGGTAGGTGTAGATGGAGGCCGTAAGTAAACCAGCTTCCAATGATCGACCATGACTGCGATCCAAAGTTAGCTGCTGGACTCATTCGATCGAAAAAATTAGCTTTCGTGGGATCAGTCCTTCAGAGAGAACAGGACAGGCGCAGATCCTCTATATAAAGTGAAAAAAAATGGAGATGATAGCTTTCTTTAAAGCCCCTTCGCGGTCCCAGTGCAAAGAATGTGTCTGAGGCAACTCACGGCGTTCTCTTTTAAGGCCTGACCACCTTAGGATAGATATTTTTCTTTTTTCCAAGATCTGTCAGGTAGGCAATACAACTACAACGCAATACTGCTTGGTCAGACGTTCAGCACTCGTTCTGGTTCAAAACTGTGCCTCTCTTAGCATGCGACCTCCAAAAGGCTAGTGAAAATGCAGGGATCTAATAACCCACATCGAAGGCTGCGTGATGGCGCATCGGAAGACAAATCTGTTGGAAGGAACTTCTCTTTGATATCCGCCGAGGGGGACGGGAACCAGTAACAGCAGAACATGATGTGTCATTGGGAAGAATTTTTCGAAATACGCCCTCTTCTCCCCTCCCCCCACACATTCCGTGGACGTCGCAGTGACTTTAGGTGTCGACCGCTCTCCGAGCTCAGTGGAGTCAAGAGCTGGTGAAAGCATCACCAGGGCTAGGCACTTGGTCAACAGGAAGACTCTGGCTTGCAGATATTGGAATTTTCCCGAGTTATAAACCTGTGTTCACAACCCGACAACTGCGCGCAGATTTTCAACCTTTAGTGGCGCTGCGACCAACTTGGCCTATAGCTTAGAGTGGCAAAAAGGATAGGCTTCATCCACTTCAATCTTTGATGACTGAGGAAGTACTTTTCAAGTGATTAAACTTAAAACAAAAGCCCATATTATATGAAATTCTTAGCAGTAATAAAATTTAGTGAGAACAACGTTGAAACAAATACAGGCAGCAGAGGAAAGCAAGACGACAAACATCGAGTTCAAGAATGATACGAGAGCAATGAAGTCATTCTGGAGAAAGAGAAAGTGCACACATATGGTATGGATGTGACGGGCTACGACAGACACTTCAGGCTTAGCGGTATTTGTCCTTCTTGTTCACCCCCTCGCCGAACCAAATCGTCAGCGTCAGAGCATCGAGTGCATTGTGTACATCTAGTGGCGGCATATTGCCTTTGACGAACAGTTGTATCAACTGAGCTATGGCTAGATTTTGGAGATATTAGAGCGGAATAACAACTGGTAGAACCGCACCATGCCTGTGAAGACGCCTTCACAGAAGGATCTTGTCACAGAAGAACTAACAAAAGGGCCAAAGAATGAAACTCTGGGCGTTTATGGCTCCTTTTTTATGCGCTGTGCACGGATACGGCTATGATCATTCCAGCTCACAATGAAGACGCTGATATTATTTGATTGTCTTCTGTAAGAAACCTGGGGGCAGCAATGAATAACTCAAGGCTTTCATCCTGACATAGTTGAAGTAGTAATTAGCTTGATATACATTTCAAAACAGCCATTATGATTTTTTTGACGACTACGTAGACAGCTGGCTTCAGTTCATGGTAACCTGGATACGCTCTGCAAAGAAACCAGCCCTACCTATCCGGTCAGGCTACGCAGAAGTTAGGTTCCTACTTCAGTGATCAGCAGCATAAGGCCGCAGACGAAGACATCTTACCCCTCTTAGAAAATCTTTCAGAAAATCATACTTCGATACCTGTAAGCATGGCAGTATGCCGGTCACTCTGATCGAGTCTGTGTGTCGAAATTGGTTGCTGCTCAATCCGTTGTTGGAGTTGCTCGTGCTCCGCTCTAACTCCTGCAGAAATCCACGAAAAAGACGTCGGATTTGCTCGATCGATTAGCGATACTTCAATTCGACGGTGTTCGATAGTCGCGCTATCCTTCGATGGACTGCAATTGGACCGTGTTTAGAGGAACTCATGAGTCGGCTGAGAAAATCGGATTCATATGTACCATTTCACTTTGAGTTCATGACTTTTCACAACAAAATTCACGGTCTTGCATCCAGATTCAAAACTTAGTTACCTATGCCTTACCAGACAATACATACTGGAAGCTCCGCCCTCATAGCCACGCCCACATTTCAGCATGTCGTGATTTTTCAATTGTTACTCTACAACTTCGACTATTTTAAAGGCCTGTTTTTTGCACTTTACTTATTTCGCACATACACACTAGCTGAAAAGCGCAGTACATCGGTACAGCAACTTCGCCCACTTTCTAAAGGACTTGCTGCAAAGTTCGAATTTTCATGCCTTTTTTCAACGTCGCTGTTTTCACCAGTCGTCAGACAAATGGAGTACTCGTTAATGTAGATACTTAGGCTCCGCCCTCTCACTACGCTCACTTTTGCGGCTTTTTGCAAACTAACATTTTTTGCATTTTGAACTGTTACGTGAGCTCCGTTCACCATGAAAAGTTCCACCCACTCTGAACGAGCGCCGCCCACTTCTGAAAAATGGTGGGAATCTCCTGTTCAGAGTCTGAAATGACATGCTACGGTTTCACTCGTCACTCGGAGCAAAAAATCATTCAACAGTTTTTTCAGTGACCATGCGAAGATCACCTAACGTCCACACGTGCAAGTGAGAACCTGCCATTTGCCAATTTGGACATTTTTCCAGACGGCCGGGAAACTCGGTGCAAAGTGGGCAGCTTAACACGGTGTGGGTGCGCCACGTAGTAGCCCAAGAACGGAATTACTCTGAAAAAAAAATCACAATTGCACAAAAACCTGCAAAAGAGGCGTGGCTAGGAGGCATAAAGTGCGAGTGCATGAGTGCGCGTCAGCGAGTACCTTCGAGTCCGAAGAGCGGGAATGAAAACAACGACCCTGAAAAAAGTTATGAAAAGTCAAAGTTCTCAATCCTCTAAAAATGGACGGAGCTGCCAATGTGCCGATGGCCAGTCTTTTTCAGCTAGTGTGCATGTACGAACAGATGAGAATGCAGAAAAGTTTCAAAAGCAGAAGTTATAGAATAAAATCTGAAAAATCACGACCACGCCGGAATGTGGGTGTAGCTATGAGAGCGGGGCATGCAATAGTGTCTAGTAAGGCAGCGGGCAACCAAGTCTTGGTTCTGTCTTGAAAAGTCGTGAATAGAAAATGAAAACGGTACATACTGCGCCAAGAAATCGCGAGCGCCTCAACAACAATTTTTATAGAAATGCTGCTCGCACAAACTTACCCATGAAAATCCCATTCAGATCGGCTTCTGTGCTGATCTTCTGACGCCAAAGGCACTTCATAGCGTCTCTCCGGAACACGTGTAGATGTACCCACGTTGTTGGCCCGATTCTCGTGGGAAGTACTTCGCCTCGTGTACGGATCGGTATTCCTTCTGAAGAAAAATGCATCAGTTTCTTCTAGGAGCAGACAACATTGAACTTGAAGAAAGGTGGTCCTCCTTTATTATGAGAGCGAGCTGGGTGGTCCTCATTTATAACGAGAACAGGCTGTCTGATCTCAGTGTAAAAGAAAAAAACTATAAGCATACATACAACAGAAAATGCCTTTATTTTTATTTCTCTATTCTATTTTTATCCACTGGATGACTCACAGCGAAGTATTTTTTCCGAAAGATTCACTATACATAGAATCTTCGCTATCTGATTAATCTCCACAACTTGCACGCCCCCCCCCCTCCTACGTCCTCCTCCCCACCTCCGCCGACTTTCTGATCCCTTCAATGCCTCCGATGAAGATTTCGTCTTGGAAAGGTGTATCTGACTAAGGTCAAGGTGCTATGCATTGTACAGTCTTGTACAGTTCGCTGCGGGCGCTAGAACGTTCCAGGGATGTGGGGGGGGCAGGGTTTAGCGCCAGCCTGTTCTCCCACTGTGGAAGCTGGCAGGCGACAATTGGTTGAGAATAGGCTGCCGCCGCGTCAAACGTCGCCCCCCCTAAAACGTCCACCATCCACATAGAACAAAGCTATGAGCCTAATAGAGAGTTTTAGTAAGAATTATTTATTCAGCAGACTTATAGTTATGATTTCTGATAGGATAAGGCGTAAAGGGGCGCTCAATAGAGCACGCGACTTTTTCTAT